TATCACTTTCTTGCTGTTTCTACCATAATTGATGGGGAGAAATGTTCTTTTCTTAATCTCCTGTTATTTGACAAGAATTTATCCTTAGTCTACTCCTTTCCTTCACCGTGGCAGTGGACATTTTCATTGAAACCCAGATAAAGCTTTCCACTTCCAATTTAAATACATGTAACTTTACACTTTGAACAATTAAGCATAAGAAGTCACCCAAAGAAGTCATTTGAGCTGATTGAATTTCAGAAGGAAGTAAGAGTATACTCATTCTCCCGGGAGTGACCCCTAAGCAGGGCTTAGAAACCATGCTGGCAAAACAAGTGTGTGCCTCTGTCCAGAAGGCACAAATTGGACATGGTCCAGGGTAATTTTGTTAATTGTGTTAGAGCCTAATTTATTAGACTTGCAGCTCTGTCTTGCACAGGAAAAAACCCACCCTATATCCAACCCCGTACACTGCTGTAAGCTCTGCATAGCCACCAATCACAACTGAATAAACACACACTTGGTTAAAGTAACAAACACGCTATTTGACATTGATTTTTCCTCTAGGAAAAACAGTTCAGTGACACAGCTCTTCACTTCCTCTGGGATTTCTCACATGGCCTTGGTCTCAGAGAGCCACCTGTGCCAAGATAATACTTGGTATTCTGGCACTTAGATCTGCGTGTGGTCTGACTGCAGAGAAGTACCTTGGATAAAGTGTACAGACAGTGTGACAAGTAAGGAGGAAGCCAACAGCTGTGTACAGCAACAGTTTCCTTTGGTTAAAGGATAGGGAAAATAACAATAAATGTTTTATTTACTAGTACTCTTTTGTCTACCTTGTTCAGTGGAGCTGCTGTCAAGGGGCACAAGCACTTTTAATTTGGCAACAGTAAGTAAAGCAGATTGAGAAAACTGCAGGAGGAATGTTTTAAACTAATACAAATACTAAAACCAAATTTAAGTAGTATAAAAATCACGATGATACAACTAGGCAGACATCCAAAAATATTAACCATTACCTTTATGGCTGCTAACTGAAAAGTAACTAAGTATACAAGATAAATGATACCGTTTTTAATAAGCACTCTGATAATTTATAAATAGTTATGTTGGCTTACGCAGTAGTTGTGAATGAAGCTGGGTATTTAAATTTAGTGCTATTAAAAGAAAAATGAAAATCACTTCCTGGTTGAGTGAACTGTAACTTCTTGGTTTAGTCCAGTCAGTAGTTATGTCTGTCTTCTTCTCTGATACAGACAGTTTTATCTCTGACCTGGAATACCAGCCATCAGGTTCAACAGAGAAATGGACTCAACATTCAGCATTCATGTCCAACTCCTATGTGGAAAATCTAGAGGGTGAGTCTGCTTACTGAAATGCTTCAATGTTTGAAATTGGAGCACAGAGGAAAGGGGAAAGTCTTTTAATAATCTTATGAGCTACAAGTGAAAAGTGCTGTGTAATACTGAAGTATTACTGTAATTGGACACCTGTGTGTTCTGAAATAGTTGGAAATTCAGCAGTTGTGAACCAGATGTACAGCCACTCAGTAAAATCCTCCACTCAAAGTATATATAGCTGCCACAGAACTTCCTGAGTGCTGTAGGATCTAGAAAAACAAAGAAGAGGATATGAAAATCTTAAGCCAAATATGAGCACAGTTAAAGAGTGGCCAGATAAGTTACCTGATAAATTTGGAATGTTTCTCTTTATTAAAGAGATGAAGCAATATCAGTTTAAATAGATGGAATACAGTGGTGTGCACCACCGCTCTAAGTATTAGAAATACAGATTTATAACTAGATTTCAAGTTGGATGTGCCATGTAATTGGGAAAGAACATCTGGATTTATTATTTCAGCTTCTTTATTTCACATATAAACAAGATAATTATGCATTACGACTCTTCTAAATACTAATGTTAGAAGTTGATGCATGGTATATGGGTCTTGTTTGTGTTTATACTTAAGTGTTTTTCACTCTAAATCAAGCATGCCTAAAATGCCAAAGAACTACATTGTCCCTTTTTTCCAATATATATGCATATACACATACATTAAAACATATAGAACATGGTTTATATTCCCCATTGCTTTTTAAAGGGCAATACCTGTAAGTGTACAGTAGATTTGGGATTAGTAACAGTAATCAAGCTCTTAATAAAACTTTCAAACAATTCTTGTGTAGACTGACCTTAAGTTTGCCTGTGAAATTGAAATAAATCACACTGGTCTTTTATCATCTTTCAAGAAATGTAGTTCTGCTTTCCTTACATATCAAAGTGTTATTAGTAAGGTAAGTAGCTCCTATTCAGAATGGCAAAGCTAGGGAAAGGACTCTGTACACTAAGTTGACATTCCTATATATTGAAACAGCAAAATGATTAGTAAATTGCACATTATAGCTTAGATTATTTTTGTGTTCTAGACTATATCCTGTGCAACTCAGACTCTGGCAGGTTCAGAATAATTGTTGAAAAGCAGTTCTTGAAAAATGCAAATTCAGTTAAGTAATAAAATAACCCCCAAATACCAGTCTCATCAGCTAAAGAATAACACACAGGTTGGCAAACCCCAAGCTTAGGCTTATGAAATGTACACCAACAGGTCCCTTTTGAAAAGGACACACAGACAGAGACCCAAACTTAAAGAGAAACATGCTTACACTGGCATGTGAGAAATATAATTGAGACACATGGCATTTTTAAAACTAAAATAATGAGTATTAGTACACAAGATAGTGTGGTACTAATACAAGAGATTGTTTACACAGGAAAGTAGAATGGTTTTGTACCTTGAAGAATGCAGTGTCAAATGAGAGAAGCTTTCTGTATCCACTGCTAGTACAGAATTCTTGAAGAGCCAACTTTCAGGGTTAAACTAGGAAGAGTAGAGCTTCTAAATTATACTGTTGAAGAGGAGAGCAACTGTAAGCTGTGGTGTTCTGCAGGAGATCAGAGCATCTGCAAAGGCAGGAAATAACTAATGGAATACTTGAGTCATCCTTTATAGAATGGGTAAGTGTGATGACTGCTGTGTGGAGTACTAAGTCATGAGGAGAACCCACAAGGGGAAATATCTCTTCATTTGGTCCAAAGGAGCATACAGAAACGACCTAGGAAAAAAACAGTCTTTGTTTTGTTGCAGTTTCAGCATTACAGGCTGTGACAAACATGAAAAGGTGAACTATGGGAACACAATCAAACTTACTGAGATATAATAGGTGATCAAAGGATCAAATAGTTGCAAGCAGTCTGCAAACTGTTTATGAAGGTTCATATTAAGTGTACAGTTACTCTGAAGTGAGAGAGACTACAAGGTGCTTCCAAATGCAGAAAACAGCAAAGAATGTGAAAACTATTAGATTAAATGTGAAACATGCCCCACAGATGACAAATCAGTTATTCAATTAAAATAAAATAAATGATCTTTTAGAAAGTTTTTTTGTTGATGTTCAGAGTTGAGGAACTAGAGATTCTCATGCCCAAAGTCCTTTGAAAAGAGACATATTGCAGGACCTGTTCAAGGTAAGGTGTCAGTGAAAAGTTTTCAGAACAGACAGTGACAATTGTCCTCGAGTAGATGACATGCCAGACAACAGCTCTGAAAGAGTAAGAAACAGTTATCAACTGTAATGTATAACCTCCTGCTTAAATCTGATTTAGAGCCTCGGTGAATGTGAAACTGCTGCTGCTCGGCTATTCAGAGGGACGAAAACCAAAAACTGTCTAGAAACCTCTAGAGAGAGACCTTGTGATTAAAAAAAATGAGGTAGTTAAAGAAAAAATAGAAATTAGAGTAAGGTAAAGAATAAAACCTATGCTTATCATGCATACAATGACAATCTCTCTAAACTATTATCATTTTAAAGCTGTCTTGAATTTACAATGGACAATTCTATGAAAATTTGCTCAGTAGTGTTAAAAGTAGTCTTGAAAGGGTGAATAAATGCTAGGAATGAGCTTGTTATTAT